TTTGGGAAATTCATAGGAAAGGAGGGATCTAAAGAGTCTCAAAAAAAAAAAAAGCACAACAGTTCATTTGGATTTAAAAATTGCTTTTGATGAAGATACAAAGCAGAGTCCGCTCTGCACTACTTTTCTGCACCCAGAATATATGCTGAGACAGGATAAAGAGCAGGGCAACATGCAAAGCTTGGAAATAGCCCCTTTGTCCTAAGTGTGTAACCCCAGCAGTCTATGTATTGAGCCAATGCAAAACTGTGTCTCTTCCTGCTGTTCTCTTTTACAAATACTGATACTCAACTAGATCCTTTAATCTTATCATAAAATATAGGTAGACCTCGATCTGGATCTACATCCATATCTTCAAAAGTGTATTTGTCTGGGAACGAAAGAGGAGTCTCTACTTCACTATGGAACTTTTATCCTTGCTTTAAAAACAGATCTGTATATGCCAAGGTAAATTTCAAGAGTTGGGAGAAAGAAAATTCTAGAAAAAATAGTAATTGAAGGTCATACTTTCCACTACAAAACCTTCCCTTTGATGAGCTCCTGCTGCTGACAAAGGCCATGCCATCCCTGCTACCCACATTATCTCCTGCACTTTTCATAACAATCTTCTGAGAACCCTTGTATCACATTTTAATGATGATGTGACTCTGGCTTAGGAGATAGCGTTTTACCCAAGAAAGAGAAAGTTGAACAGTGACTCAAACCCAAGACAGTGTGTCTACAGAAGTTGTGTCCTTCAACACTAGTCTACATTCCAGTGCCTTGGGTGGTGCTGTGTTCTCAAAGAAGCCCTTTCTATTGGAGAGTTCCAAGTAGAAAAATATTTCTCCTATTGTGCTGAAATTTGCCTTCTTGTAACCATCCCTCCTCCCCACTCCAACATAAACATGCATTGGTCCTTGTTCTGTCCTTTGAGGACATAAGGGACTAGCCAGATCCCACTTCCCTAGAATTTATACGTGGTCATCCTGTCCCTCTCAACCTTGGCGTTTTCAAATAAAGGCTAAACACACACAATCCACACTCGTTCCTTCTACAAGATAGTTTCCAGACCTTCCATTGCCTAGTCTCTTCCTATAAAGATAAGAATCTGCTTGTGTTTTTAAAAAGTCTCTATAGGATAAGTTGTTCATTCTGAAATTTTAAAAGCCCTACTGTCAGAACATGACCCTTCACGTCTAACCTAGATTATCACAAACTACAGTCTAAAGTAATTATCCCTAGGTCTATCCTCAAGGGAGACATTAACCAGCCAGTTGTCTGCATGAGAATATTTTACATTTTTAAAGGTTATTATTTGCTCCCTATCTTTTTCCTCTCTGGTGTAAATATTTCCAGTACTGGAAAATTTATCTTCATAAGGTTTACCGCCTCCCCCATCAGCAGTTTCTACAGGGCCTCTTTCATCTAAATCCAGGTTGCTACAGAGTTTAAGACAGGACTCAGTACAGAGGTCAAGCTCAAGCTTAAGCAAAGGAAAAGCTATTAAGCTGGACTCACGGCTACGTTTTGTTCTAAGGAGTACAACAAAACAGTAGCTCCTTTTAAAAAAAATTCCTTTTAAGATTTTATTTATTTATTTGACAGAGAGAACACAAGCAGGCAGAGGGAGAGGGAGAAGCAGGCTCCCCACTGAGCAGGAAGCCCATTCAGGGCTTAATCCCAGGATCCCGGGATCACGACCCAAGCAAGGCTTAACTGACTGAGCCACCCAGGTGCCCCAGCAGCTCCTTTTTAATGTGTGCCTACTATGGGCCTGTCACCATGCTGGGTGCTTTCTGGACAAATTTCTAATCCATAATTCCCTTTGGAAAGACTTCCACTCACATTTTACAAATAAGGTCATGGTGAGAGAGGAGAAGTCGCTTGTCAAAGTCACAGAGCTAGCGAGTGGCATTGAACCCAGGTGTGTCTAATTCTTAAGCCCAGGCACTTTCCTCCACACCAAAGATGTAATGGGTCTTTTCCAAAGTACAAAAAATATCCACCTGCCCTCAGACCACTGTGAGCCAATGCAAAATACAAAACCCTCAAGAATCACATTTCCTTCCTCCAAACAATGCAGCATTTGGCTGTGCCAGTGTAAGTCTCTGACATACGACAGTGAAAAATCCTCACTCAACCCATACTCTGGTCATTATTACCCTAGACTCATTGCCTCAGAGTCTCAACCAGCAGCTCTAATGGCCTTTTAGATGGAAATTTAAGTCATTTAGCAACACACAAAAAAGTGTTGGATGGAAGTCCAAAAGCATTTCAAGCTTGGCCCATGGCCCTTCCTCATAAAAAAAAAAAAAAAAAAAAAAAAAAAAGGGAAGAAGAAGAAAGAAAGAGAAAGCTAAGAATTGTTGGGAAGAAAGTGGAAGGAAGGACTTTGTGGAAGGCAAAGAGAGTTGAAGTGATTGCAATAGAGTGTGCAATTAATGAATATTCGTCCAGTAAACAAATAAGATGGGTTATGCTGACTTAAAAGAAAAGAACTTGCCAAGTTTCTCTTCTTCATAATAATTTTTATTCAATGGGCTGGCCTAAATCGCAGATCCACACATTCTTATTTAGGAAACTAATTTGAATAAGAAAGCATACTCAAAAGAAGTGTTTGTTTCCTTTTTGTTGTTGTTGTTGCTGTTGTTTGGGGGGTTGGTTTGTTTTTGCCTAACCTGGGAGTAGATGCCCAAAGTAGCTGTTGCATGGATAGCTGGTAAAATCTCAAGTATGAATATAATTAGGACGTAATGGAGATGTGTGGGAAGGAATTGATTAAATGCATAGCCAGTGCTTTCTAGTCTCCAGACCTGTGCTCAGTCCTACTGAAATGTTTTTCAGTTCAGTTTTCCCTACCATCACCCCTCTCCAGATTTCACAAAGACTTCCTGTTGTCCTGCAGGAGGCAATCACGTGGAATCATGTTGATGCATTCTATCATTGGGATAAGATCTTTCTGGAGGAAAAAAAAAAAAAGTTGGAGGACCTCTGTAGAGTAAGCATTCCAAATACTGCATCTAATTGATGTACATGGTCATCTCTGAAGGAGCAAGTATAAGAATAACATTGGCATAGAAAAATGCCAATTTGCAAAGTGACCGATTAAAAACCAAATACATCTCACCTATTTTCTTGAACTATATTCAGGAGTATTTTCCAATTAAATAGGAGTATGAATGACTTCATTCCCTGTATATATCATTCCCACATGCATCCAGAGCATACTTAGGTCAATTTATAACCATCTAATGTTTAGCCATGTCTTCCTATCCACTCAAGAATTTCCCAACCACCTTTGACAACAGCCCTTGCCCCAGCTACCTTGATTGTCCATACAGATAAATAGTCATAAGACAGATGAATAAGACAATTTAGCAAAGTTAGGAACTGCCTCTCAATAACATAATCTCCTCCATACTCTGTTGGTATCTAATCCTCTCTCTTTTTAAGGCTTAGTTTAGATTCTGTCCTTTCCAACTACCACTCTTCGACAATTCTTTTCATTTGTTTCACACTCCATAAGCAGTAGTACCCTATACCACAAAATCAGTCATTTGCATTCCTTCCAACTTTGTTCCTTAAGTATTAAATGTGTGATTCCATTTTATTTATAATTCTATTGTTAAGACCCCTGAGGGTAGCCACTTGGTCTTCTGTTTATTTCTACCTCCACAGAACTCTGACTATTGTGGAAAACACAATATGTTTATTAGTCTGTTCAGGCTATTATAGAAACATATCACAGACCATTATTTTGGCTTAAACAGCAAAAATTTATTTCCTTACATATTCTACAGGATAACAGTTCCAATTCAAGGTGCTGGGAAATTCAGTCTGGTGAGGCCTCTCTTCTTGGCTTGCACATGGCTGCCTTCTCAGTCTGTCCTCACACGACCTTTCCTGTGTGCACAGAGAGAAAGAAAGAGGGAGAGGGGGTTCTGTCACATTGGTGATCCTCCTCTTCTAAGGACACTAGCACTAACAGATTAGGGACATATCCTCATGACTTCATTCAAACTTAATTACCTCTCTAAAGGCCCGATCACCAAATATAGTCCCATGAGAAGTTCAGGCTTCATTCAGTATATGAATCTGGGGAAAGGAGAGGACAGGATTTAGTCCATAACACTCAGTGAGAATAGTGTAAGTACTTGCAGATTGGAGAAGACATCAGAGGCTCATGGACATTCTTTGTGAGCCCTCTCCTGCCCTCAATCATAGTTTGGACAACTGCTTTAGAAACATTCTATCAGGTTCTCCAAAAAACCTGACTTTTTAAGGTTTTAGAAATAAATCAAGGAGAAGAGAAATTGAGGCTCAAAGAGGTAGAGGGCTATTTCAATGGCGACATAACAATTAAGAAGCTGGGCTGGAATTAAAACTCACCTTGCCTTCTAGCATGTTCATTGTTTGAACCTCTGCCTCCCAGGGTGGAGGGGAACCAGCAGATGCTGCTTAATTGGGACTGGAGAACCAATAATAAGAGGCAGGAAATACTGAACATCTACTGTGATTACGGCCTCTTGGCACTACAATGACTCATTCAGTGGGCTCATTGAGTAAAGATTGAAAGGGTTCATAAATCTATGAAAGATTTCTACTTATAATATTGTTACTTAGATCATTATTTTAACTCTGACATTAGCCACTCACTGCACAGAAAGAGAAATAGGACAAAGAAAAGTTACCTGACTTACTCAAAGACACAGAGCTAGAGCTGAGATCCAAATCCAGGTCTGGTCTATACTGTTCCAAAGTTTTGCCCTTTTCTCTATTCCTTGCCATCTCCCTATATTTCCGGAAGCTGAAAAGTGAGTGAAAATCATTCCTTCAAGACAGCAATATTCTTCTAAAGGCCAGTTTGTATCAACACTATAGGCAATACTGAAGGAGTATCAGGAAAACTTCAAACGCAGCAGATAGAACATCAAAATTCACTTGGAATGACAATATTCAATAGAGTCAATTAGCAACGGATACTAACGAGCTTGTTGTTTTCCCTCATTTCCTTGTAGAAGAGAATTTCTTTGAGAAGATCAGGAACCCACTCATCTGGATTCTCCTCTGTGCTTCCACATCCACACTTCTGCCTGAGACTGAGACACCCTAGGAGCGAAAGCACAAAAACCCCCCAGCCAAACCCACCTCCACCATGGGGGCCATGACCCGGCTGTTGGCGGGCATCCTCCTAGCCTCATTCACCCTCACAACTGAAGGTGGGGTCCTCAAGAAAGTCATCCGGCACAAGCGACAAAGTGGGGTCAATGTCACTCTGCCAGAGGAACAGCAGCCGGTAGTGTTTAACCACATCTACAACATTAAGCTGCCTGTCGGTTCCCAGTGCTCGGTGGATCTGGAATTAGCCAGTGGGGAGAAGGACCTGGCCCCGCCATCAGAGCCCACTGAGAGCTTCCAGGAGCACACGGTCGATGGGGAAAACCAGATTGTCTTCACACACCGCATCAACATCCCCCGCCGAGCCTGCGGTTGCGCGGCGGCTCCCGACGTCAAGGAGCTTCTGAACAGACTGGAGGAGCTGGAGACCCTGGTGTCTTCCCTGCGGGAGCAGTGCACCATGGGAGCCGGCTGCTGTCTCCAGCCTGCTGAAGGTACACCCAGCCCCTCGCCGTCCACATGGGAGAAATGATGAGCACAGCCAGCTCCCTCACTTTGTTTCCAAAGCAGGTTCCCTGGGGAACTGGCCTCACAAAGTGTTCATTGAGAAGAGATTTTATGGTCAAATAAATGTGGAGAAAGTAGCCGTCTCTGTTCTGCTCTTGGAGAGTCTCATTAACAAATGTTTCTCAGAGGAGTTTCTAGACCTCTGAGAAGTCTTGCATGGAAAAACCTTGTTATAATTTAATGACCAGTTTCTAACATTTATTTGACTATGAGATCTACACATTCTGTACCCCAAAACCTAAGCATATATTATGAAATTCCTGACCAAAGATCACTCTCTAAAAGGTGCCGATATGACCCCATCACCTCATTGTCCAGGCAGGAAAACTAAGGCCCAGAGGGAGGGTGGGATTCTTCACAGTCCTGCCATAAGTGATAGAGTTAGGGCTTGAACTCACAAAGATACAATCCTGCCTGTGGTGGTACAAAGTCTGGGAACTAGAAAAAATGTTCCAGTTTAATGGCAGCAACAACCATCATCACAGTATGCATTGAGCCCTCTTTTATGCATCAGGCACTGTAATTCATTACCTCATTAAACCCTTCCAAGAACTCTTTGAGATAATGTTTAATACTCCCATTCTACAGATCTAACAGCTGAAACTCAAAGTTAACTAACTGGCATAAAATGACAACAGACTAATAAGAGAAACAAGTTCTGAGTGCAACTGTGGTCTCCAGAGCTCACGCCCCCATCCCCTCCATAATAGCCTGTATCCGGTGCTTCCTTTTCTCTGGGATTTTGCCATTTTAGAATTGTCTTCATCTTCACTGCCTAGACTTGACAGGGCTACGGGAATTTTGGCAGCTTCAAATCAGAGCTGAACACCTTTATTTCTGCTACCCCCCCCAAAAAAAAACCGAGAAAGCACTTTGATAAGTTATTTCAAGAGTAGACCTAATCACCCTAAGTGGAGAGGACTATAGGACATACTCTAGGTTTCTGAGGTGGGGTAAGTTTCCTTTAGGCACAAATGACTTTATCTTCCACTTCCATCAACTCCCTGGCAAAATGCAGATGGAAATTACACAATAGGATTAATGCTAAAGAATGGGTTGAAATAATTGTTGAATGCAGTGCTGTCCAGGAGAAATATAATGTGAACCAGATAGTCTTAATTTTTCCAGTAGTCACATTAAAAAAATGAAAAAGAAACAGGTGAAAATAGTTCTAATGAAAATAGTTTTACTTAGTATAACCATATTATCCACTTTTCAGCATGGGATCAATACAAAACTTATTAACGGGTGTTTTATATTCCTTTCTTTAAACTAAGCCTTTGAAATGCCATATGTATTTGACATTTATACCAAATCTCAATCCAGAGTAGCCACGATCCAATTGTTTAATAGCTACTGTGTCTCATGGCTGCCATACATGAAAACATATGATTCTCACCTTTCAAACTCGTTTTTTTTTTTTAAGATTTTATTTATTTATTTAACAGAAAGAGAGATCACAAGTAGGCAGAGAGGCAGGCAGAGAGAGAAGGGGAAGCAGACTCCCCACTGAGCAGAGACCCTGATGTGGGGCTTGATCCCAGGACCCCAGGATCAAGACCTGAGCTGAAGGCAGAAGCTTTAACCCACTGAGCCACCCAGGTGCCCCTCAAACTCGTTGTTTTCATTGCCTTCTTCCCTGCTGTTAAGAAGGAGCTAAAACATATTAATACAACTGTATTTGGGTGCAGAGAAAATGGAACGAGCTTTGTTTCTTCTCCCTGGCTCCATGGAGACTACGCCAGCCACTCCTGAGAGCTGAGCCAAGACATGAGACAGACTTCAAAGAGTTGGAGGCATGTCAGCCCTGACCATGTCTTCCTCAGATTCACCCACCACTGCAGCTTTTCAGATGGGAAGGAAAAAGCTAGACACACATGAGCACTGTGGAGGCAGAGCCACATTAGAAGCCGTACTGACAGAATTAGAAAGCCATTCCTATGCTGCCTCATTTCAGTAATGGAAAATCAGAAAGTTCAGTCACATAAATCCACATAGTGACTTGAGTCAACCCAAAAAACTCTGCAAGAGAAGATCACAATGAGAACAACAGTAGGTCTGTAATGTCCTCACTTAACCCTGATACACCCCAGGGAAGCAGGCTGTTGGTCCCATTGACTGATGAAGAAACTAATGTCCAGAGCATCTAACTCACTTTCCAAATGCAGCACCGCTGTGGAGCCAGAATCAGAATTGAGTTCAGTTCAACAAATATTTCTTGTGTGAAACAATTACTCTCTTATGTGCCTGACCTTGGCTAGGTGCAGGAGAAATTACATAGCCCAGCCTAATACATTCCACGAGGCAATGATCTATAATCACCAGGGTCATGGGTATACTTGAAAATTCGATAAAAACTACAGATCCCCTCCCCAAGAGTGGAAAACACACACACACACACACACACACACACACACACACAAAGTATACAGTCTTTCCCAGGGAGCCCGGGTTTCAGAGAGTACAGGTGAAGAATTCACCCCTCCTCTAAGGGGATGTCAGTTCCCTCTGATTTCACACCTGAGGCAACTAGTTTTCAAGCCAGCTGGGACCCGAGGGTGCCACCATCTTCTGGCTGCGTTGGAATTGGGGTCCCGCGGGTGGTAACAGGGAAAGCCACCGCTTGCGCTCAGCTGCCGGCCTCTGTCTCTCGTTGCAGGCCGCCTGGACACGAGGCCCTTCTGCAGCGGCCGCGGGAACTTCAGCACGGAAGGCTGCGGCTGTGTGTGCGAGCCCGGATGGAAGGGCCCCAACTGCTCAGAGCCCGAATGTCCTGGCAACTGTCGCCTGCACGGCCAGTGCGTGGATGGACAGTGCGTGTGCGACGAGGGCTTCACGGGGGAGGACTGCAGCCAGCCGGCCTGCCCCGGCGACTGTAACGACCAGGGCAAGTGCGTGGGCGGGGTCTGCCTGTGTTTCGAAGGCTACGCGGGGGCCGACTGCAGCCGGGAGCTGTGCCCGGTGGCGTGCAGCGAGGAGCACGGCCGCTGCGTGGACGGCCGCTGTGTGTGCCAGGACGGCTTCGCGGGCGACGACTGCAACGAGCCGCTCTGCCTCAACAACTGCCACGGCCGCGGGCGGTGCGTGGAGAACGAGTGTGTGTGTGACGAGGGCTTCACCGGGGAGGACTGCAGCGAGCTCATCTGCCCCAACGACTGCTTCGACCGCGGCCGCTGCGTCAACGGCACCTGCTACTGCGAGCAGGGCTTCACCGGCGAGGACTGCGGCCAGCTCAGCTGCCCGAACGCCTGCACCGGCCACGGCCGCTGCGAGCAGGGCCAGTGCGTGTGCGACCCGGGCTTCGCCGGGCCTGACTGCAGCGAGAAGAGGTGTCCCGCCGACTGCAACCAGCACGGCCGCTGCGTGGACGGCCAGTGTGAGTGTGACGCCGGCTTCACGGGAGCGGACTGCGGTGAGCTCCAGTGTCCCAATGGCTGCAGCGGTCATGGCCGCTGCGTCAACGGGCAGTGCGTGTGCGACGAGGGCCACACCGGGGAGGACTGCGGCCAGCTGCGGTGCCCCAATGACTGTCACAGCCGGGGACGCTGCGTCCAGGGCAAGTGTGTGTGCGAGCCGGGCTTCCAGGGCTACGACTGCAGCGACATGAGCTGCCCCAACGACTGCCACCAGCACGGCCGCTGCGTGAACGGCATGTGTGTCTGCGACGACGGCTACACGGGAGAAGACTGCCGGGACCTGCGCTGCCCCCGGGACTGTAGCAGCCGCGGCCGCTGCGTGGACGGGCGCTGCGAGTGTGAGCACGGCTTCACCGGCCCCGACTGCGCAGACCTCGCGTGCCCGGACGACTGCCACGGCCAAGGCCGCTGTGTGAACGGGCAGTGCGTGTGCCACGAGGGTTTCATGGGCGCCACGTGCCGGGAGCGGAGGTGTCCGGGCGACTGCCACGGCCGCGGCCACTGCGAGGACGGGCAGTGCGTCTGCCAGGAGGGCTTCGCGGGCCCCGACTGCGGGCGGCGCTCCTGCCCCAATGACTGCAGCGGCTGGGGCCAGTGCGTGGAGGGCCGCTGCATCTGCAGCGAGGGCTACTCCGGGGACGACTGCTCCGAGGGTGAGTCCCAGCGCTGAGCCACCTGCCGTTGGTTCGGAAGCCCCCCGGTGCGGGGTGAAGAGCTATGTGTCCTATTACACCTGCTCCCATGCCCGGGAGCACACACACACCATTGCAGGGGCCCGCGTTACTCACCTGTCACAGGGCTGCCTATTAGAAGACTCGGAGGCTCATAGAATTTTCCCAAGCACTCTTATCTGGTACATTCTAGAACTGTTATTTGAGTCTACCTATCTAGTCTACACGGAGTATAACACCCAGTGCCCTGTGGGGAGGTAGATGAAATGAAAACAGCCTTTTTGCCAAATATGAACCTTCTCATCTACTCCCCACTGACACCGAGCCAAAAATAACCTTAATCCCTCTATTTGGATGAGAGCAAAAATTCAGCTCAATTGAATGGACAGTGAGATTACATAAAACTCTTCTACATGCACACTCAGCTAGTGAGTAAGTGCTAATTAATTACTTGCGAGATAGGCCCATCTCTTAACTCATTTTTCCATGACTGTCTTCAATCCCAAGGATTATGAGCTCCTTCAAGGAGTGCTATCCTGACGGCACAAGGCACGGTATACAGTAAGAGCTCAATAAACCCGGATTGAGTGAAAATACAACAAAGAATGATAATGCTTGTGTTCACTGAGGGTCTTCTTTGCACTCCTATCAGCCACCCAGACTATACTTGTTGTAATAGAGAATTTCTGTCCTGATTAAAGGTATCATTGATATGAATAAATAAATGTGTTTAATGGGCCCAAGGCAGGGAAGTCTGGTTGAAAAGAACACCAGGCTGGCAGGGAGGAGGTGTGAGTTCCCAATTTGCTGAGAGAAGCAAAGTTGGGCCAGTCCCTCTGCTTCACTCATACCTAGAAAATGAAAGATTTGGAACAAATGAGCCCCAGAAACCCTTCCAGCATTAAAGATGAATGACCTGGAGTTCAGAGCAGAGAGCCAAGCTCAGGCTGCATGTGCCCATGCCAATGGCCCGAATCTGAACTAAGGTCCAGAGAGTAGAGAAGTTGGAAAGGTCAGATCACAAAGAAACCTGAAGGACAGCCTGCAGACCCAGCACTATAGCCTGAAAGTCACCAAAGGTTTTCAAAGTGAATCACAGCAGGAGGCTCTTGATGAGCTTTTCATTTAAGGAAATGGAAGCTGGACTTTAGGGCTCAGTGATTGGCAGTGGAAGGGACAAGTGAAGGGAGACAAACCTAAAGAGAGAATTTACGGAGGACCTTACTGACAATACCTGACCCAAGCTATCCTTTTGTCTTCCTGCCAGTGTCCCCTCCCAAAGACCTCATCGTGACAGAAGTGACTGAAGAGACTGTAAACCTGGCCTGGGACAATGAGATGCGGGTCACAGAGTACCTGGTCATGTACACGCCCACCCACGAGGACGGCCTGGAAATGCAGTTCCGCGTGCCCGGGGACCAGACTTCCACCACCATCCGGGAGCTGGAGCCAGGCGTGGAGTACTTTATCCGAGTCTTCGCCATCCTGGAAAACAAGAAGAGCATTCCCGTCAGTGCCAGGGTGGCCACGTGTGAGTTCGCAGAACCCACCCCCACCTCCACCCCCAGCAGCGTCTGCTGCCCTTGTCTTGCCCAGTGCATGACCCACCCCCACAAGTCACTGCTTCCCCTTCATGCCCGTAGCAGCACAGCTGTCCTTTCATCGTTGCACCGATTAAGACCCTGGGATCCAGTTAAGCCCACTGAATTTTTTTTTAAAGAAACCCCTTGCCTACCAATTCATTTAACTCACAATAACCCTATGAGATCAGGACAATTATTAACCCTTTCTACAGATGAGAAAACTGAAACTAAATATTCACCATCTCCTCCCAAATCAGACTCTTAATAAGTGGCAGAGACGGGATTTAAACCCTGGAAGTCTGGTTGTAGGTTTATGCTCTTATCCATTCTATTCTACTGTTTCCTTTCTATGGAGCTCACTGTCCACATATTTAAAAAAAAAAGAAAGAAAGAAATATTAGGGTTCAAGTTCTTCCTTTAAGAATCCAACATCAGTATAATTCCCTTCATACCTAAAAAGCAAGGCTAGAAATTGGTCCTTATTTTTGCTTAGTAACTATAACATTGGCTGCCACATATTGAAATGCGCTGTGCGCCAGGAACCATGCCCAGTGGTCGACATGCAACATATCACTCAGTCCTCAAAATGTTCCCAAGAACAGGCCCACTTACCTCTTCCTCCCGAATGAAGAAGGTGAGGCTTAGAGCACTTTCTGCAATTCGCCCCTGCGCACACAACTTGTAATGCGGAGCCTAGATTTGAGCCCAAGTCCCTCGCATTCCAAACCCTGGGTTCATACGGCTTCACCATATGAAATTGTCAGGATTTAATCCTATGGTGGGTCCTAATGCTAATTGTCACACTGCCTCACAGTAAACAGCATCCCACAAGTAGTCAGGAATAGAATCCAGCTCTGACAGGGGTGGGGCACCCACCGGTGGGGTTCAGGGGAATCACCACTGTGTCCACCGCCAAACTCCCCCCACCCCCGCACCGCCAACATGCAGCCATCCTTCCCTCTGCTCTTCCTGACAGACCTGCCTGCGCCTGAAGGCCTAAAGTTCAAGTCCATCAAGGAGACATCTGTGGAAGTGGAGTGGGATCCTCTGGACATTGCTTTTGAAACGTGGGAGATCATCTTTCGGAATATGGTAAGGGGCACAGAGGAGCAAGCATATTTGACCTCAAGGATCAGAAAGATCATCTGGGGGCTCTACAGACTTTTAAAGATTTTTTTTTTTTTAAAGATTTTATTTATTTATTTGTCAGAGAGAGAGAGAGGGAGAGAGAGCAAGCACAGGCAGACAGAATGGCAGGCAGAGACAGAGGGAGAAGCAGGCTCCCTGATGAGCAAGGAGCCCGATGTGGGACTCGATCCCAGGACACCGGGATCATGACCTGAGCCGAAGGCAGCTGCTTAACCAACTGAGCCACCCAGGCGTCCCTCTACAGACTTTTATATCAATGTTATTGCCTTCGCTTCTGGTGGGAGACAGGGCTGTGGTTACTTAGTCCCTGCACGTCTGCGAATACATTCTAAGTGATTTTAAGAAGTCAGTAAGCATAGCCCTTAGGGCTGTGAGCTCAAACAGATGCTGAGCTGTCCCCTTGCTCCTCATAGTCTTGGAAACGTCTACTCAGAAGAGAACAAATGAGCTCTGTCTCCAGATGTCCCCAGGCATATCTGACCTTCAGTATCCCTTCTCTCTGGGAAGTAGGTTCCTGAGTCCAGGCTCTGGCACTAACCAGCCAATGGGACAGCCCCACAACTTCTCTGTTGCTTGCTTCCCAGACTGTCAAAAGAAGGATTGAATCTGTGGCTCTGGACTGCTTTGGCTCTCACATTCTGGCACTTGACTTGAGTGTCCAAGGAGTGAGTATAGAGGTTTACAAGAGGCAGAAGCCAACTCGAGAGACGTCCTTATCCTCCATGCATCCTCTGCCATGCTGGTCTGCTGGCTAGGGAGAGCTCAGCGAAGGAGTGGATGCAGAAGGAGCGAGCCACAGAGGAGGAGAGACTGGAACCTTCTTTAGGTCTTACCAAGACTCTCTCCTGTCTTTCAGAATAAAGAAGATGAGGGAGAGATCACCAAAAGCCTGAGGAGACCAGAGACCACATACCGGCAGACGGGCCTAGCTCCTGGGCAAGAATACGAGATTTCTCTGCACATCGTGAAAAACAATACGCGGGGCCCAGGCCTGAAGAGGGTGACCACCACCCGTGAGTATCACCTTTAATAGCACGGACCCTGTGATAAAGCTGACCGTGCCCCACAGTGCCTTCTCTGGATAACATTTCCTCTTACAGAGCTTCTGCATCAACTAGGTTTTGCTATGTAAAGAACAAACTCCAAACTTAAGTGGTTTGAAACAATAGTTCTGCACATTGCTGATTTGGGGTTGGGCTCAGCTGGTCAGTTCTGTTTTGGAGTGGGCTCGCTTCTGCATCTGTGTGGCTGGGGGCTGGTTGGCCTCGGGTGGCCTCTGTAGGCCAACCTGGGCCTGGTCACATGGCAGCTTAGCCTTGAATCACTCCGTCAAAGCACATCTCAAGGCCAGTCCAGATGTAAGGAGCAGGAAACAGATCCATCCCTTGATGAAAGAGTGACATATCAAGAGTGACATATCAAGGCAGGCACAGGTACAGGAAGATCAGTAAGAGAGACCATTATAAATAACCTACCACCTCACCTAATCTGATACACCGATCTTGGGAAAGAGGTTGGGCAAATATTATTGTTATTATTTTTCAAGAGTAGAAACTAAGGCTTAGGGCTTCGAAATCAGTTTAACAAATGCCACCTGGTGAACACTTGGGGGCCACCACAGGGTCACAATTGTCAGTGAGGGTCAGTTTTATAACTCTCACCCCCTTTTCCACTGGCACTGATGAGGCGCTGGTCTACGTAGAATGTTCATCCCGTATCTCCAGTAGGAACATACATTAAATGTCACTCAATAATAAAGATGTCAGAACTTGGGGGAAGAATAGAATTTGGCACTACTAGATCCTTTGGTGAGGAGGAAAAAGAAAATCTGGATTTGGAGTTGTTTTACCAAGAAGTCAAATTTTGAACACCAATAAATAAATAAATAAAATTATTTTGCATCGCCATTTGGGAAAACCTCTCCATCTTCTTTGAGATAGCATCTGTGCCGACTGTTTAAGGGATTGATTCTTTTTGGCAGGAGGTTGTTGGAAAATTTAAACTTGTGGACTAATGACAAGAAAGAACATCTTGCATTTAAATATTTGCACATTTTGCCTCACTCAGAGCCGACTCCTAGATTGTCTCCTCTATAGACAAGTGTTTTCCATCATTTCTGACACCATCCCTCTGTGGTAGGTAGAGAGCAGGTATCGACAGGAAAAAATCATTAGATCACCAGAAAGGCGTAGAAAAGATCCAGCAAATGCTTACCTGCTGTAGAGAGGGCACACCGAAACTCCAAAACACATTTATCTGCTCCTTGCTTTTTAATTTACTTCTGGGGATTAGCTGCTTTATTCTTCTTGCGGGACAAACATCTGAACACCTAAATTCCCTAGTCTCACATAAATATCAGCACTGAGGGGCAGACATTTCCATGTTCATTTCACTGCTGGCTGAACTTTATCCAGGTTTAAAGGACCTCAAAGTTTGGGTGACAAAGCATTTTTGGCTCCTTCGCCCTGGTATCTGTATAAGGCTGTATTACAACCATTTCTGGCACCTGGATGCTTTTGAGAGACATTCACATTTAAAGGAGCAAGAGTATGGGCTTTGGACCCAAACAGACCTGAATGTGAATTCCAGCTTCGCAGCTCACATCACCTTGTGAAGTTCTACTTCTTGAAGCCTGTGACCTGCCATCAGGAACATGGGTTTATAGTGTCCTTGCAGGGTTGTCATGAGAGTTAAGACATACAAGACAGAGCACTGCGCTTGGCATGTAGTAAACTACAGCAGTACTAGGTTCCTCTGTTCAAGGATCCAAATCTGGGGGATGCGGGGGTGATCAGTGAGTTCGACTCAATCCCGACTTCTTACGAAAGGGCTGCTAAGGACAGGAACAGGTGTGGTCGGGGTGCTTGCTAACACCTGTAAGAACACGGGACAGGCAGCTTCACTGTTGAATTGTAACTTTGTTTTCATTGTGCATTCTATGGGTTCATTGTCTGTAGGCTGAGGCTGATGGATGAATGCTTAGAATTCAAAAGATAGACTCTGCAGGTTTCTCCTAGTCAGATTGGACTTATTCTTTCTCATTCCCTATATAACACTGAAATTCCTTTCATTGGAAAGGAACTTTCCTAATTGTTTCCTAAACCAGCGCTAAAAACACAAACGTAGCTCTTTTTAAATTGAAGAAACAAAGAAACATTGACTGGATGCCTTCATATCTTAATTTTAGGCATTTGCCAAATTCTCGGTGAGTTTTAATGTTTGCATTAAAATTGTTTATATAATTAGAAAAAAAGAATTCAGACATAAAGGACAAAATCTGATGCTATGTTGGGGATGAAAAGGAAGTCAAAGACCCACTCTCCAAATAAATGAATTTAGACCTTATCTAAGTTGAATAATACATAAACTGTAGAGAAATATGTTAAAGAACAGTGAAAAAAAGTGTATTAGGATTCTCTCTCTCTCTCTCTCTCTTTTTTTTTTTTTCTTGGATTCTCTTATTTATAATTGTTCTAAGACCACTTAGAATGTGATCTGCTCTCTTCGTGAGTAGCGTTCCCTCCGGTCCCTTTGTTGTCGGGCACATCCCTAGAACTTACCCATCTTACATAAACTGAACCTTTGTACTTGCTGGGGAGGGTGTATGTGTTCACCTGATTACAACAAGGGTCAAAGAGGACTCTCGTTAGGAGGTGCCATGTAAGTGGGGTTTTGAGGGATGACTAGGAGATTTTTCGAGGGGGAGGGGCGATCTCAGGAAGAGCAAATGCAGAGGCCAGGAGGGGAGAAACAGCATGCCGCACCTGCTGTCACAACACAACACTCGCACATGACAGCACAAGGCTGGGTGGGACAGGAGGAGGCTGAGGTGAAGGCACAAAGATGGTGAGGCTTGGGACAGCCATGGCTTTCTGCCTGAATTCTTTCCTCACAAGTAACTCTCCATACCCGGGCAAACCAGGGGTGGCCTCCCTTTTGAGCTCCATAATTCTGATCAGCCATTCAGGGAGTTTTGCTTATTTAAAAAGCCAGAGAGACTAAATCAATGATTATTTTGTTTTTTATTTTTTTTAATTAAATTTTATTTAAATTTTTAAAATTTAAATTCAATTAACGGCACTTGTAGTACATCATTAGTTTCAGATGTAAATCAATGTTTTTTTAACTGAAAAAGGCCCTAAGCTTGTTTCTTAACTCATGAGCATGGTAACAATAATAATAATAGGGAAACGACCATTTATCGTGTGACTGCCATGCTCCAGGTTCTGCGCTCGGTGCTTTGCAAACATTATCTCCTTCCTGTTCAAAAAAACAACAAGCCCTGCAACACAGTTGTCATTGGCCTATCTAGAGTTTGTCAAATGGGAAATGAAGACTCAGAAAGACAAAAGAAGGTCAGATGGTTAGTAGACACTGATCTGTCCATGCATGGAGATGGATGGCTGCAAACCCCTCTCTGCTCAGCCCATGGCCCCGGCCCCAGTCTCTGAAACCACTCTGCTGTCTGCCCGTCACAGGCTTGGACGCCCCCAGCCAGATCGAGGTGAAAGATGTCACGGACACCACAGCCCTGATCACTTGGTTCAAGCCCCTGGCCGAGATCGATGGCATTGAGCTCTCCTACGGGATCAAAGATGTGCCTGGCGACCGCACCACCATTGATCTCACCCAGGATGAGAACCAGTACTCCATCGGTAACCTGAAGCCGGACACCGAGTATGAGGTGTCCCTCATCTCCCGCAGAGGTGACATGTCCAGCAACCCGGCCAAGGAGACCTTCACAACAGGTAGTGGGCCTTCCCCGGTGAACAGCCAGGAAAGAAGGGTTGTGAGACTTCCATCCCACTCTGCTGGGGTTCCTTCCAGGCTCCTCTGACAGTAGAAATAGAAATAGACAGTAGAAAGGGAAATTTCATTCCTTAAAATGTTTATTTAAAAATATTGTAGCGATTGATCAACTTTTTCAAGTAAAAAAAAACTCTATCCAAATAACCTTCTAAAACACACACACACACACACACACACACACACACACACAAAAGCATACTGGGAAGGTGCTGGTTTGACAATCTCAGGTAAAAGAAGTTCTGATTAAAATAAAATTCATGTAAATATTTCCATAATAAAAGACAGTTTATGGAAAGCATGAATAACAAAGGTGCCTCTGGCATTCCTTTTTTTTAAAGATTTTATTATTTGAGAGAGAGAGCACAAGTGAGGGTAGGGGCAGAGGGAGAGGGAGAGAGAAAACCCAGAAGCCGACTCCCAGCTGAGCACGGAGCCGGACACGTGGTTTCATCCAGGCCCTTGAGATCATGATCCGAGCTGAAAACGGAGACTTACTGACTGAGCCAGCCAGGCACCCCTGTGGCATTTTCTTAGAAGTCCCAATGGATCCATCGATCATTGAGTCAATAAATATTTTTTCAGAGCTCAGAAACATATGAATTATTAGAAATACAGAGATGGGCACAGCAGACAAGTTCTTACACTCACAGACCTTATTCGTAAGTTTCTGTGTAGTTTTTTCTTTTTTTTTTTTTTAAGATTTTATTTATTTATTTGGCAGACAGAGATCACAAGTTAGGCAGAGAGGCAGGCAGAGAGAGAGGAAGGGAAGCAAGCTCCCTGCTGAGCAGAGAGCCCAATGCAGGGCTCGATCCCAGGACCCTGAGACCATGACCTGAGCCAAAGGCAAAGGCTTTAACCCACTGAGCCACCCAGGTGCCTCTCTGTGTAGTTTTTTTAAGCATAAAATCTGAGGAGCATGAAAATGACTAGAGTATCACACACATTAATAACGGGGAAAGGTAAACAAATAAGTAAAATAAAATAAGGGCAAAAGAGGTGCCTGAGATGCAGTATTTGTTAGATCTGTCCGTTGGGTATTGAGTTGAGGGGGTGTTGCCATTTTTTCTCCAGGCACAGGTGCGTTTCATGTCTCAGCTTGAATTTTCAGACTCCCGCTCTCCTAGTGCCTGGTGTTTTCAATGCAAATGTCTCTTCCTCTTCCAAACAGGCCTGGATGCTCCTAGGAATCTCCGTCGCGTCTCCCAGACGGACAACAGCATCACCCTGGAATGGAAGAACGGCAAGGCGGCCCCTGACAGTTACAGAATTAAGTATGCACCCATCTCGGGAGGTGACCACGCCGAGGTTGAAGTCCCACGGAGCCAGCAAGCCACCACCAAAGCCACGCTCATAGGTGAGCTCTGCCTCCCAGACCCAGCCCACACGCACACCAGGTTGGGAGGGGTGGGGCATGTCCCCATTTTGCAGCCCCCCACAGAGAGAAAGAAGTGCAAACCCAGCAGTTCTCTCACTTGGACTTCAGCGAGACAGTCTGTAGAACATACCAGACACTGAGAGATCATAGGCTCCAGTGACAGCTCAGGACTGTCTTCATGATCCTCTGAAAGTCTTCCCAGTTTGGGGCTAAATATCCACCTGCACATTCTCCCTTAGGTTTGAGGCCGGGAACTGAATATGGGATCGGAGTGTCTGCTGTGAAGGCTGACAAGGAGAGCGATCCAGCCACCATCAATGCGGCCACAGGTGAGACAGCCATTGGTCCCCACCACCTCTGGGCTGGCGCTGGCAGATGCACTGGGGCCCAGGAGGCAGAAAACCTATTTGGAAAGAAACAGTAGATGCACAGAGGAGAAAGCGGCCCCTAGAATCATCTAGCCCAGATGTCCAATTCAAAAGTAACGTAAGCACACCGCATCTTAATGATTCTAAAGGGGAATGAGGTTTTTTTTTTTTTTTTTATGAGAAATTGGAACCAGATTTTATAAGAAACCTGCAAACTTTTTTTTAAGTTCATAATCAGTTCTTTTTCTTTCTTCTTCTTCTTTTTTTTTTTTTTAAATAAACCACAGTCTGATCAAAACACATCTGGGAGGTTTTCTTTTAGGAAACACCTGACTTTTATAGTATACCCTTGTCCTACAGACAGTAAGTAGCAGGAACATAGTTCCAGACAGACTGTGCTCTTACTTTCATCCTGAAGTTCCAGGCTCTGGAAGAGGGTGATGAGGAAGGAGCTGTATGATTTGAAGCCATTGATTCTTTACTCAAGTTTTCTCCCCTCCCTGGAAAATTTGTTAAAAGAAAATTTTTCCCTCTACTTTTCCACCAGCCTCTTCCATCCTTCCCCCAGTCACTGTGGAGAAAAGGGGTCTGGTGTGCAAAGGGGATGAAGGTCATGCCTCATAGAGCTTCCCCATTATGGACTCAATGCTGACCACTTGCACAAACACACTTTTTTTTTGTAAGATTTTATTTATGTATTTGACAGAGAGAGAGATCACAAGTAGGCAGAGCAGCAGGGAGAGGGAGAAGCAGACTCCCCAGTGAGCAGGGAGCTCAATGCAGGCCTCTATCCCAGGACCTTGGGATCATGACCTGAGCGGAAGGTAGTTGCTTAACTGACTGAGCCACCCAGGTGCCCCACACACTCTTTTTTATCTTTTTCTTTGGAGGTAATTGTCAGTTCACATGCTGTTGTGAGAAATGACACAGAGAGATTCCCCCTAAACCCTTTGCCCACTTTCCTCCAATGGTTAACAACTGTGTAATCATTGAACAATATCACAACAAGGAAATTGACATTGACACAATCTATCAGCTTTATGTATATTTCACCGGGCAGTACATGCAGCTCATTTTTGTAGGTGGGTATACTTAGCCCTACACCGTTTTTTTTTTTTTTTGGTTTTTTTTTTTTTTTTTTTTTTAGATTTTATTTATTTATTTGACAGATAGAGATCACAAGTAGACAGAGAGGCAGGCAGAGAGAGAGAGGAGGAGGCAGGTTCCCTGCTGAGCAGAGAGCCCGTTGTGGGGCTCGATCCCAGGACACTGGGACTATGACCTGAGCCGAAGGCAGAGGCTTTAACCCACTGAGCCACCCAGGCGCCCCTAGCCCTACACCGTTTTATCCTGAGCAGCTTTTCTCATCCATCGGTATGGTTAAGACACAGAATAGTTCCATCACTAGGGTCGCTTTTGTCCCCTTTTTTTATAGCCACAGGCAACTCCTTCCCTCCCTCCCCCTCTCCCTATCCCTGGGCAATCCCCAGTCTTCATCTCTGTACTGTTGTTATTTCAAGAATGCTACATATAAGGAATCATACAGAGAATGCAACCTGCAGAGAGAGGCTTTTTCACTCCATGTAATTCTCTCAAGGTCCGAGGTCTGTTCAAATTGTTCCTTGTGTCAACAGTCAGTTCTTTTTAGATGCTTTTAACTGAGTAATATTTCATGGTATGGATATATACCACTATATCCTTTTTAATCTTCCAAAACGTGAAAACAGACCCAGACGAGGAAGTTGCCTGCAGCCATACAGCCCCTGTAGAGCAGAGCTGGGATGCTTAGCCCAAAGCAGCCCTGCCTCCCCGCCTGAGGCCTGGACATCTCTCTGCTTTCCTCCCAGACATGGACGCACCCAGGGACCTGCGCGTTTCTGAAACCACAGAGACCAACCTGACCCTGCTCTGGAGGAGGCCTTTAGCCAAGTTTGACCATTACCGCCTCAACTACAGCCTGCCCTCCGGCCAGCCGGTGGACGTGAAGCTTCCGAGAGACACCACGTCCTATGTCCTGAGAGGCCTGGAGCCCGGGAAGGAGTACAGCATCCTCCTCATCGCCGAGAAGGGCAGACATAAGAGCAAACCCGCACAAGTAAAGGCATCCACAGGTGAGGTCAGCCTCTGAGCTCTCTCCAGACCCTCTGCTGATTCTGAGGTTTGCAGACCCGGAAGTCAGGCTGTCTCCCCAGGGGAAAACCAGGTGGGAAAACACACAACTTTCTCTACATAGTGCTTTGAAGGAGCTACTTAAATCTCTTTACCTTTGTCAACTGATTCAGCGAAGTCTTCTTGCTGGGAAATCACTAGCATTTTCTAAGATATTTCTTCCTAGGAGAACTTAAAGCACCGGGGTTTGTGTTTGTCTTGGGATTTTTAAATTTTATTTTATTTTGTGCATTTTACAGAGTTTTTTAAACCATTTCTTATTTTTTTGTTCCCCTTCTTTAGCCTAACAATGAATTTACTTCTCATTTTATTTTTTTTTCAAGATGACCAAGGTGTTGGTAATAATTTTTTGGTTTTTTTCCACTTAATGTTTTTTATGTTTATTTACCATTATTATTTTTTTTTTTTTTTTTAGTAATTTCTACACCTAACGTGGGGCTCAAACTTATGACCCCCAAATCAGGAGTCACGTGTTCTACCGACTGAGCCAGCCAAGCACCCATCCCACTAAATGTCTTTATTTCAGGTCTTCTGCTTCCTTCCAAGGTTACCTGAAAAGTTGCATCTGATCCTTGGAGGCTAGCACAGTGCCCTCCCCATTTTCTCTTTTCTCTTAGTCTCTAAGAGGCAAACTTCTTTTTTCCATGACAGCTAAATCCTGAAGTGTGGTGTTCCTTCTAGCCCAATATCCTGTTCCTGGTACCTGCTGCCATAGTTCCTCAGTGGCTAAGTTGAAAAAAATAATCAGAAAAAAAAATCCATTCTTCCAGTATGAAAAATATGTGCACGGAATTGTGGCCCCAAACTATTCAAGAGGTATGGGTGAAAAATGTTAATTCTTCAGGGCTTGACAAGGAAAGTCTTTAGTCTCAATTTAGTCTTTATTGAGAAAACCCACTCAATACATTGTAGTGTGCTGATATCTAAGGGGAAAGTGAGTCCTGTACTTAGCATTGTTATTTTCACTCATGTGCTCCTGCTCACTGTCTGTGGGGAAAATTAGACAGTGGGAATATTAGATTGAGCGCCATCAAGGAAAGGGGGTGATTGGGAGAATCAGGGTCAGCTGGAGAAAGTGTCACGGCAGAGATGTTAGTCCAACTCAATCTTGATAAGCAGAAAAGAAGTCGTAATGATGGGCAAATCTGGAAATGGCCTTGAAGAGTCTTCGTCATTTATGAGTACCTTCCCTTGCATATAACAGAGAACTCAAAAAACAGTCACTTCAGCAAAATGGAAGTTGGTTTCTCATAAGGTAAATCTGAAGCTAGGTGGTTCAGGTCTTGGGTAATAGTGCCAAGTTATCAGGGACTTGGTCTCCTTCTCTTTTTCTGTTCCACCATTCTTAGTCCTCGGCTCCATTCCCAAAGTCACTTCCATGTCACAATATGGCTGCCACAGTACAGCCTTCACATCTGTGTTCTAGGCAGCCTGAAGGAGGAAGAAACAAAACCAAGAAGGAGTACCTCCTAGAAGAGTCTTTCTGGAAACTTCACCATTGACTACTACTCATATTTCATGGGCTACTCCACGCTATAAGCAAGTCTAGGAAAAGTAGTCTTCTGGCTCAGCTTGTTGCTGCCCACATAAAATTATGGTTGTTTATAAGAGAGAGAGAAGGGATTATTGGTAGACAAAGAGCAGCCTCTTCACAGAGTCTCAAGTGAGCTCAAGTGGTCAATTCTGTTGACTTTGCACTGCTTCCCACCCATCTATGAGATGATCATCAAGGCATTCTGGAGGGACAGTTCAATCCTAGGTAAGGAGGGGCAACATAGAATCCAGAAAAAATAGTTCTCTGGTAGAGATTTGAGTGTTTCAACTTTATAATCATGAGCTTGTCAGAAGGTGTCAAGGGACAGCAAATGAACCTGAAAAACAAGAGAGAAGACATTTCTTTCTCTTTGTTCTTCCTACTTCCTCTCCTCCTCTTCCTTCTCTCTCTCTCTCTCTCTTCCCACTTTTCCTTGCATTTGACAAATGCTATAGCAAAGATTTTCTATCTCTACTTCATTTTACTCCATTTTACTCTCTGGCTGTAGGTAGGTTATCTCCTGTCTCCAGCGGAGAAGCCCCAGACCTCAGCAGCTCAGGAAGACAAAAGTTTTCAAGTGAACCACAGGCTGAGATTACTTTGTCTCCAACTAAAAGCCCAGTTTTGGCATCCCAAAGACTCAGTGGTTTCATTTCCTCCACCACACATCCTTAATATGGTTTCCAAAAAATCACGTTGTCTATTTAAAGACATCTTTCATTTCAGGGGAAAAAAAAATGTGCAGAGTCCCTTTTATTGGCTCTTCCCCCATGGTCTCCAGAATATTTTTCCGTAGGGCTTTCTCCATAGGACAGTTTTATTTCATTAAAAGTGAGGTGGACATCTCTTTCCTTCTCTCGAATTCTATCTTTTCAAGTCTTCTACGTTACTTGACCAGTAATGTTTACAGCTGAAATCTGTGCACTAAGTTCTAGGGATTCTAGATCAATTAGGATTAGGATAGATGTGTGCTGCTGAGGAACTTGCTGATACACAGCCCGACAACACAACACTCCATTTGCTAAAGCTGGGGGAACAGAGAGTTCAGCAGGAACATGGGATGATTTCTGGGCATCAGGAAAGGCTTGAGATGGGCGGAAACTCTTGCGCAGACACATAAAGGCAAACAGGACTGTGCTGAAGATTATGGAAATAAGTACAAATATAGGCTTGACCTCGTACCTATGAGAAGAAGAAAGAAACATATCACACGGGACCTCCTGAGCAAGTGTACTTATGGGATTTTGAGTCCCAAGATGTCACAGGCCCATAGGTTCAAACCTCAGAAGCAAGAGACTCCCCATTCTGCATTGCTAGATTCCTTTTTTTTTTAATTTCTTTTTTAAAAATATTTGTTTATTTATTTGAAGGAGAGGGCATGAGCAGGAGGGGCAGAGGGAGACAGAACAGGAGAGAGACTCTCAAGCAGACTCCATGCTGAGTGCAGAGCCTCTGATACAGGGCTGGATCCCACAGTCTTGAGATCATGACTTGAGCTGAAACCAAGATTGGATGCTCAAACCACTCAAGCAGCCCCATCACTGGATAAGAGCACAAGTCTGCAAAGGGGTCTTATGGAGAAGATGTGGAATTGGCTGTCCCCAGAGCAGTTTTTCCCCAGGGAATTCCAGAGCTCTAACCATGGAATTGAGCCAAAGGGCAAACTTTTTCCTTGACGCAGAACCAAATTAAAAGTATGTGTAAGCCAGCTGCCCATCACACCTGAAATAAAATCCAGAGACCCTACCACAGCCTACATGGCCCTAAAGGATCTGTTCCTTCCAGTCTCTCTGACCTCACTCCCACCATTTATCCCCTTGTTCGTTTCACCCTGGTCACCCTGGCCTTCCTGCTGTTCCTTGAGTATACCAAGCCTGCTCCTACCTCAGGGCATTTGCGCATGCTATTTCTACTGTCCAAATACTACTCCTCTCCCGGTTATTCATTGGCATCCCCCTCATTTTATTTAGCTCAAGTGATTTCTCAGCAGACTTCTCTGGCCACCAATCTGAAATGGTGTTTCCATCCTGACTGACTCCTTCATGCTGCTGCAGAATTCCTTACCTGCCCTGATATTTTTCAGTAGTTGGTTTATTTGCCTATGACCTGCCTCCTACTACAGACCAGAATGTAAAGACTCTGTCCCCTTTATCTAGTGATGTGCTGTATCATCCCCAATGCCTTAGACAGGGCCAAGCATAAGACATATGCTTCATGAGGCTTGGGGAACCCTAGCTACTCCAGAGTGGTAATGTTTCCATTGAATCTCCTGGTCTTTTCCTTCTACTTCTGCATTAACAGCCCAAATTCCCTCTGTTCAGGATTAAGGGAAGAAAAGTTACTCTGTTGTCTTCAGTTAAGCCTACTCTAGATAGAAAAGGAAGGAAAGAGAGGAGGGAAGGAGAAAGGAAAGGAGGGAGGATCGGGAGAGGGAGGGAGGGAGAGAGAGAAGGAAAGAGAGAAAGGTAGAAGCCCATTAAAGTTGAGGAAAATTAATGTGTGCCAGGCATCTCCCCCATGCTCCACACCCTGCATTTATATTTTGATAAACTCAATGAAACCCCACTTAAAGTGGAGGCCATGAATTTGCTGTGAGCACGAGGGACATAGAGCAGAGAGAATATGAAAAACACAAGGCCAAGAAAGCATCTTTCCTTACCAGCATAGGAACTCATCTGTGATACCCCGGTAGTTCTCATAGGTTTGGAAAGCAGAACGGTGGCATTTTGCTTGTAGTCACAGCTGCAAGTAACAGGGAACATTCTGCTGTGATACCATTTTGATTTATTCATGGAGCAAACCGAATTTATTCAAATATTTAACCCTCCAACAAATATTTATTACTTACCTGCTATGGGTCGGGCAATGCTGGTGTCTCTGTAGAACAGGAAGGCACACAGTGAGGCACACTGCAGTGAGAAAGAAAGAACTGAAACCAAAATTATAAGACTATAACTAGTCTGTTTTAGAGGGAAGTTTGGGAAGCTATGGGAGCAGAAACAAGGATCCATTCCAGACCTGAGCAAAGGGAAAGATGGATACCAGAGAAGGCCTTTTGGAAGACGTGACACTTGGCTGAGTCTCCAAAGAGGAAAGGAAGTGCGGAAGGGGGTAATGACATTTCCAGCAGGAGGAACAGCATGTGAGAAGACATGAGCCACTTCCTACTAGTGAAACACAGGCTTCCCAGTCCTGCCCTAAGATAGAGTAGGAGCACAGCAAGGTATGGGGTTCGAGACATCATCAGAGACTGTCTACGAAGGGCAGTGAATATCGTGCTAAGGGGTTTTGACTCCATTCTTGACAGTGATAAAGAGTCACTGAAAAGTTTTAAGGCAGGCAAGGCATTTAATTTTGATTATCTTGACTTTGCAAGGTGAGATCAAAGCAATTAACTCTACCCTTTGG